CTTGACACCCCTTGGGAGTGGACTGAAGAGTGTGAGGCAAGCTTCAAGAAATTGAAGTACGCTCTAACACACTACGAAGTCCTCAAACTTCCGGATCCTGATAAGCCCTTTGTCGTGACCACAGATGCCAGCCAGTATGGCATAGGCGCGGTCCTTGCGCAAAAGGAAGGACCAAAGTTGAGACCGATCGAGTATATGAGTAAAAAGATGCCATCTCAGAAACTAGCCAGGTCCACTTATGAGCGTGAGCTCTATGCCCTGTACAGAGCACTGGTCCATTGGAAACACTATCTCCTTGGCAGATTTTTCTATGTAAGATCTGACCATGAGACCTTGCGTTGGATCAAGACACAACCGGTACTCTCCGACGCACTCAAGCGATGGATATAAGTGATAGACATGTATGACTATCAACTTGATCCTATCAAGGGGGAGTACAACAAAGTAGCTGATGCACTATCACGAAGGGCAGACTAACTGAATTTGGCATATCTGACGATCTACCTCGATCATTGGTGGAAACCTATCAGCAAGATCCAGTTATGTCTGAGATCATTCGTAAATTTCAAGCGAAGGACAAAGTGACATCGGATAAATTTACAATGGTAGACGGCTTGCTGTTTCTTGAGAAGCCAGGGAATAAAAGACTGTGTGTTCCAAATAGAGAGTCTTTGCGTAGTTTATTTTTAGGTGAATGTCATGATGCAACTGACCATTTCGACTGTAGGAAAAGTTCAGCTAATTTAGTGCAGAAATTCTGGTGGCCTTCTATGATGGAAGATGCCAAGAAGTACGTCGTAACCTGCCAGGTCTGTCAACGGGACAAACTTAGGACTCAGGCTCCGCTTGGGCTCATCAATCCCTTGCCGATTCCTGAAGGTTATGGTCAGAGTGTGTCCATGGGCTTCATGGATACTCTTGTGACCAACAGGTCTGGGAGAAGGCAGATCTTCGTTAGAGTAGACCGATCCTTGAAGTATGCAAGTCTTATCGCTATGCCTAAGACTGCCAAAACTGACTACGCCATCAAACTGTTCATGGAAAACTGGGTACGAGACCTCGGTTTACCCAAGTCTATCGTCAGTGACCAGGATGTACATTTCACAAGCTAACTGTGGCAAAGCACAACCCGAGAGATGGGCACCAGACTGCAGACGACATCATGGAATCACCCTGAGTCAAATAGATATGCGAAACAAATGAATAGAGTAGTGCAACATTTACTAAGGCGCTACATTAAGCCAAGTCAGGACGACTGGGACGAGAAACTGCCTCTCGTCGCCAGCCTTTACAACAATGTTGTACACAGCACGACTAGCATGATTCCCAACCAACTGCATCTTGGTTGGAAGCCTCGTACCGCCTTAGCTACTACCCGAAACTCAACCATCTACATCACCGGGCACATAGAATTCGCTGTCAAGTACGAACAGATGTTGCAACAGGCTGTAGAGCACATTAAGAAAACTGAAGATGTCATGGTGGCATCTGAGAACAAGCATAGATGGCCATCTCAGTTTCACGTAGGAGAACTGGTCTGGGTAAAATCATATGAGTTGGGACAGGAACTAGGCATCTCAAGAAAGCTAATGCCATAGTACTTCGGTCCTTGGGAGGTTTTAGACATAGTGGGAGATCAGATAGACGAACCTTCTTATGTGATTCGCATCCCACCACATCTATGTACACACCCTGTATTTCATGCCTCAAAGTTGGCACCTTTCGCAAAGTCTGCACAGTTTCCTTCCAGACGGTCAATGCTGCCCCCAACCATGGATGGCGAAGTGGACATCGACCAGATCATGGAGCATCGAGTGATGCCAGTACCCCGACCACCGGGCAGAGGCCGCCCTCCTAGGCCGAGAATCCAATACCGTGTCAGATTCAGACATCATCTGGATCCCAGCGAAGATCAGTGGTTCACTAGAGAAAAACTCAAAAGAACTGCACCTCAAGTTATTGCATGCTACGAAAGAGAACTCAAGGGGAAAATGCCTGCAGAATAGAAGACTTCTCAGAAGGACTGTCGAAGTACAGGAGGAGGGAATGCGAGGATCTGGGTCCTCGGCAGGCCTAAGGGGCCCCTGTAGCATATGTGCCTGCCCTAAGTGAAGGCGGGCCTAACAAATCACAAGAGGCCCTTGGCTGTCAATTTCGCATTTGGGGTACAGACAGTTGTGACGCGCCAGTTGGTTGAAGGAAACACAGGCCGAGCAGCAAGGAAAATTCCATGGCCTCCAGGCCTTTGCGGAAATACAGACCCTGGGTGAGAATCGCAGCCTCATAAACAGACAGTTGGGTGGCCCAACCGAATGGGGCCCAGTAGCTGCAACAGAGGCGCAGCATCCTGGGGCCTACCGGAAGCTTCTGGGCCGAGGCCCAGGCCAGCCAGGCTGCCAATCGAGGCAGGTTCTTTCCATGTAGGAAAGAGCTCGCTGCCTGGGCTGGCATTCGGGCACTTGCATGCTAGCGGCAGCGCTGCTGGAGCGGACACTCGTGGGCTGCTGCTGGCGCTGAGAGGCAAGGTGCAAGCACGTGCGGTCGTGTGTGAGTGAGGGCGCTGCTGAGGGCAGCGCCATAGCCCAGCCTCCATAGCTGGATGGCCTTGGACTACAGTGAGGCGCAGGGGTGGTCTTCGGGTGTACAGAGGGAAGACGTGGATGTAAGACGAGGGAGAGAGAGAGAAGGATGATGATGATGATGATGTGAGGGCACATACCTGGTATTGACGATGGTCTGCTACAGGTAACATCGTCAAGTACTTCGTTGGCTGCTGACGTCAACAGTTGCATTGTCCATTAGTAGGCTAGTAGTAGTCGTGTAGGGAGTAGGCTGGGCGCCGAGCGCCAAGTAGGGAGAAGAGCCTGGATACATATGTTGGTGGTGGCGAGAGCAAGCTCTCATTGACATTGGTTTTCAGTGTTACGATTCTCCATGGGTGTCATATTGGTGCAATGCTGCTTTCTGAACACATGTGATACGAATCTGGCTTTCAATGTGATTGTGCAATCTGAATATTGTCATCTCGCTATCGCTCATTTTCTTTCTTTTTCCTCCTTTTCTTTTTTTTTTGCTCTCATTTTCTTCTCCCATTTCCTTGCTGTTATCTTCTTGCAGGTTTTTTTTTTTTTTTTTCCTTGCAGGTTTTTTTTGTTTCCTTCTTTTGCAGTTATTCTTCCCTGAGGCCGCTCGGCTCTCCTTCCCCTCCTCCTGCCGTCTTCCCCATGACTATATAGGGTCGGTAAGATAGCTTACATGCATTCACGATGAGGGCACATTGTATTCGGGATAAGACGGTACGACTAATTTTCTACCTACTTTGATTACGAATAGGCCTCTTACTTACGGCGACTCTCGTCGTCTGTCTTCCTTGTCCCTCTCCCCCTCCTTAGAGGTTAGGGTTTAGGGTTTACGGTTTAGGGACCACGCTTCTGTACCCGATTGGGGATCGGCATAGTTCAAAATTCAAATGTTGTTTCCCCACCTTATATCATGCCAAGGAACATGAATATGGACGAAGCACAGAAATCCAGATTGCAAATTCACACTGAAGTCCAAGTAGTCAAAGCCAAAGCAGCTAGCACAATGGAACCGAGTAACCATCCATTTGAGAACCATACAGAAGAATCGTGAGTCAATGTCCAAGCCCAACAGGGCAACACCAACAGCATAACCCAATGTAGCTCTCTGTCTGAATGGCGCCAGGCGCCC